GTATATGTATACTTCAAATCTTCTAGTGTGAAGAATATCTCAAATGTGGCAATAAATAGGACAATCTTTTTTAAATGTTAGTATTTATAAAAAATGCATAAACTTTGCTAATTAATGCACATAAACATTCTAATTTGGATGAGGAAGAAACTGAAAAAAAAATTTTTTTAAAGCAATTCATGATTCTGGATATCCAGTCCTTTTAGAACAAAGAAAAACAAACTAAGCTCTTCAACAGTACCGCACAGCTATTTTTTCCTTGTACCACACTAGTGTCCAGAATAAGGTAAATGATAGTAAACTGTCAGTGTTAGATGCATGAGATCTATCTTTAGCTCTAGATGCCACATGTAAGATGACAATGACAAACTGGAACATATTCAAAGGAGGACCTTAAAAAAAACAGAGGCCTTAAAATCATAATTACATTCAACAAACTGGTCATCAAAGAAATACCTAAAGTATCGGACAATGTTTAACCTGGAGAAGATGTGGCTTCAAATGTCTGTAAGGTGTTTGTTAGGTATATAAAGGATCAGACTTGTGCTATGTAGTCCAAGGAAACAGAACCTAAAATGACTAGTGGAGGTTCAACATAAGGACATTTTCAATGACTGGGGCTGTCTGAAAATAGAACAGAGTGACTCTAAAGCCTTTGAGTTCCTTTAAGATATATGTACTGGGTTCAGAAGCTAAATAATCATATGGTGAATATGCAGTTCAGAGAAGATTAAAGTACTGGGGGAAAAGGCAAACAGAATGGCAGAGGGGGACACCAGCGAGATAGATTATTCTAGGGTCTGAGTACCACAACTGAACAAATAACAAAGAGAACAAACTGACTAAATTCAGACTAATTAAAGAAAAGGCCCAGGCTGCCATTAAGGTCTAGGTCTGCAAAGCTTTTAAAAGAATCTAGCATACAATAAATGCCCAGTAAACATTTGTTGAGTGGATCACTTCATTCAGCAACAGTGCACAGCAATACAATGCATGAGATACAACAGTAAGAAGTACTTTAAGAAAAAGGCAGAAGGGATTTGGAATTCAGATACTAAAGCAACAACCTATTGTTTAAAACTCCAATTTATAACTATCTGACCTCAGGTAAGCTATTAGCCTCACTTAAATGTGCCTCAGTTTCCTCAGCTTATAACAAGGATAATAATTGTACTTAGCTCATTTCAGTGTTCAAAGAATTAAGATAATAATGAATGTAAAACACCCAAAATTATTCCTGTCTACTTTTTTGTTTACTATTTTAAATTTTAAAAGTCAGAAAATAATAGAACCTTTCAGCAGTCCAAAATTTTTATAGAAATCAATTTTTACACTCAATCCCTTTTGCTCATTTACCTGTGGTACGCATGAAAAGCTTATGTGCCTGACTCTCGTATCCGCGCGATGTATGGAGAGCAATCCAGTCTGGATTTATAAACTTTGCCCTGAAAATCAAAGCATATGTACATGTACTTTATTCCTCATCAGTTTTTAGCAATAAGGACATCTGAGGACATATAAGTCTATTTTGAGAAGTGGTCATTGCTCTTATAAAAAGCAAGAGTCAAGGCTTAAGCTTTACTCTTTTTATTGAATCATTTGAAACTGTCCCTATAACATGTTACCAAAAGCCCTACCTTCACAATTCTTCCAATGTAAAAACCTCCTGGTGGGTCTCATTTCATTTATTAAACACATACTTTGCAAAGAACAATATGATAGGATCATGTTTTATAGTTTATAATCTCTTCAGACATCATAACAATCTGCTATAATAAATAGGTATTAATTACAAATCATTGCATAAAAAAATAACTAAACATAATTGTTAAAGATTTTCAGTCAGATTAAATTACCCTGAATACTGAAAAATATAATTGATTATTATGAAGTCTGGGGACTTATTTTTAATTCAGGAAGCTAATTTTTACACAACAAGAAATAGTTGAGATAATAAAACAAACGAGTTCAGAAGACACTGTGAAAAAGTTCCTCAAATTTCTGCCACCACACTTCAAGTCTGGAATGGAATACCATTACAGAGTAGAACTGGGTCTCCATCAGACATTCCTGATCTTCTATAAATCATCCCATTTCTTTAAAAGAAGGAATTCCAATATAGATCTTAAGGCACAAGTGAAACACCACAGTAATTCAAGTTTCCTACTTGACATGTCAGTCAGGATATCATGTGAACCTGTATTTTATTATTTATGTGGGGCCATTCCTGAAAAAAAGCTTTCCTATATACAACTAACAATATTAGATATGTTTCTCAGGAGTCCATGCACAACTGGTAACATCTCTGCTTCATACAAAGCTAGGTGTTTAACATTTCTTTCTAGCCTGTCTTCCAAAGAAATTATGAAAATGTTCAAACTCTAGTAGTCAACTTTCTTACAACCCAACTGTAAAGGTATAGTACTTTATAAACCATAATACCATAGTAGCTACAAACAATCTTTCCTCTATTCAACAAAGCCAGATCACACTACCTCTTACTCCATCTGCTAAGGGCATAAATATTTAGAGTTGCATTAAGAAAGAAAAACTTACACATATGCACATAAAAGACTATGATAAGCTGTCAGAGGTGGATAATCCAATCCCCAATACTGTAAATTATTATCACTGCTGTTAAAATACCTAAAAAAAGAGAAGAAAGCACCATTCCATTAATCAATATTCAAGAAATACTTATAATTTAATATCTCATCTAATTTAAGAAATATGTTATACAAGGTACAAAATTCAGTTAAACTCTTTGTCTTTTCCCCTTCACTTAAAATTTGTTGTGAACTCTAAATCAAAAGATTTATTAAGGTGAATAAATAATTTATTATTTAAAACAAGGTGCTTTTAAGAGTTAATAGGGAAGTTATTAATAATTAAGCCATAACCAGAGATACAAACCAAGAAAGTCCCAGGCAAACCAGAATTATTGTCACTTTATTAGTAGACTAAATCAATGACTAACACTTATACAACAAAAAACATGCATCAAAAAGACAATTTGCTTTTGATAGTCTAACAAATTAGAGAAACAATATAAAATGAATTTAAAAGTAAAAAAATACATACCAAAAACCACATTAACATTTAGTTCATGAAAGAGAAATACTTCACAAACAGGAGGCTTTTAATAAAGCTGTCTGAAAACAATTCAACTAACATGTAATGAGAACCTATTACATGCAAGCTTCTGTGAAGTGAGGAAGAAAACAAAGTCTGATGTTTGTAAGGTAATAGGCTCCTCCAGTCAGCCAGGATGGAAAGGAACTATATACAACTACTGTGATGCAGGAGATGGAGGGTCAACTTATGTAACAGATTTCTTCATTATATCCCTTATAACCAGGTAGCTTCTTCTATCCAATTATTTTTCTTAATAATTTAAAATAACAGAAAACAACTATATAACCCATAAATAACCAGTGTTCATAAGCCTGTTTCAAATGGGTCACAGTTTCTCAATGCCATAATATCTTACTTTGAGGTTAAAAAAGTTTCTTTTAAACTGACATTTAACATGATCCCATTAAATAATCTATTACTCATCTTCAGAAGACCTGCTTTTCTTAGTGTCAGCTTGTATGGAGGGGGTGGGCATTATAAAATGATCAATGCCTGCTAGACAGCCAAGAGATCTGGGTGTAGGGTACTGCAGTAGGATACCATCTGGTGGCAGTTGTCCTCTCCCGCAGCAACGTCCACGGGAACAATCCTGGGTCCTCTATCTGGCTGGGTCAAAGCCAGGAGGCAGCAAAGCCAAAAATCTCCGGGTTAGCTGGAGCCCCTTCTGACAGCCTGAATCTGGGAAACTGGGCCCAGCCAGAAGCAGAGACCAGAGGATTCTTTTCTCTGGTTCCTTCAGAAGACAGGCACCAACTCTGTTATTTCCAAATTCATGTTACTACAGGGCACATTAACATAAAGTTTGATTGTATCTACCTCAAAGAGCTGTTGAAGGATTAAGTTAAGCATGCACAGCTATTAAGTCTCTGCCTACACAAGGTAAGTGCACAATAGTAGTTCTAATTGGCTACTAGGCACAAAACTACTGGGATGGGTAGAGCACATTACACTGAATAGTTCAAGAATCACATTTTGGTCAGAGCCAGGAGTCCCCACCTTCCCAGTGCTGCTGAAGCTCGAGTGCTCTGAGAACATGACCTGAGAAGGCTGATCTAATGCAGTGACCTGGGTCCTCAACAACCCGGAGGAGCTGTTTGATACTGACCTGACCAACAAGAAGGTTTGCATCAACTCTGAGCACAGCATGGACACACTGCTGGAGATACAGGGGAAGGCAGGAAAGACCCTTTCCTACATTGGCCCCAAATAGTGAGGGCCTAGGCCCCTGGTTGAGCCCAAGATAGCACCATGAAGATCCTCTCCTTCCTTCTAGATAGACCTGGAGCCTGGCAGTCCTGCTCAGCCATAAGAGTTCCTGCAGTGACCGTCACTTGCCCTGCTCCTCCCTATATTCCCTGCAATAAAGCCATGCTGCTTTTGTTGGGGGGAAAAAAATCATATTTTAGCCACTACAATTTGATTTGGTTTTCAGCTTTTTATAAGACAAAAGCTATTTTTCTTTTATCGTAACCTTGATATCCGCTAGAGATAAGTAAAAGAGGCATGACAGTAAGCATACAAAGACATATACTAACAGTAAAGCCACTGGTTAGATTGGGAAGAAAGAATGATAGGGCTAACTACCTTGCTTCCAGTCTTATGGAAATGCATAAATAAAAAGAGAAAAATTCATGCAGAAAGACAGCTTAGAAGTGTTTCAAGTAAAGCTTCAAAACTTACCAGTAGAAATAAAACTAATTAATCTCCTACTTTATATATTTTAGATACACCTGAAAAGTTTTATAAATGTTATTTATACACTGAAACATATTTTTGCAATGAACTCCCATGTAACCTGCAGATGTTTTCTCAGAAAAAACCTGGCTATCACACAAATTATGAAATCACATTTAAGAGTATTATCATTAACTTCAAGATGTAATTTTTACTAACAAACAACCCAGAGTCATAGGTATTTTAACTTTTTAAAAATACATAGTTTAATTTGAAATAGTTCCAAAATTACAGAAAAGTTTCAAGAAGAGTTCAGAGAACTTCTATACATCAAAATGTAAAACTTTTATATGTCAAAAGATACCATAAGAAAAATTCAAAGACAGGACAGGAAGAAGTGTTACATATATACTTCTCTTCTTATGTTATATGTGCACAAGAAAAATTATTAAAATGTAGAATACTGTGTAGCAGACAGACATTAAGGTCCTCCCCATGAGTCCCATCTCCTGGTATTCATGCCCCTAAGTGTATAATCCCCTTCCCTGATTGTAGGCAAGACCTGTCACTTGCTTGTAACCAATAGAAATGGCAAAGGTGACAGGATGTCCCTCTTGTGCTTAGGTTTTATGTACAGGTATACCTCAGAGATACTGAAGGCTCAGTTCTGGACCACAACAGTAAAGCATGGTCACAGAAAAGCGTAAACCATCACAATAAACTGAGTCAAATGAATTTTGGGGTTTCCCAGTACATGCCAGTCATGTTTATGCTATACTATAGTCTATTAAATGTGAATTATACCTAAAAATAATATACATACCTTAATTTAAAAATACTTTATATCTGAAAAATGCTAACCATCATCTGAGCTTTCAGTGAGTCCTAATCACTGATCACAGATAACCAGAACAAATGTAATAATGTAAGTTTGAAATACTGTGAGAATTACCAGAAAGTGACACAGAAACACAAAGTAAGAAAACACCATTGAAAAAATGGTGTTGATACAGACTCCAAGAAGGGACTAGTGGTTACCAAAGTGTGGGGTGGGGAGGGGGAGAGGAGGATGGGTGGGGAGGGAGGGAGGGAGAAGGGGATTGAGGGGTATTATGATTGGCACACATGGGGTGGGGGGGATCATGGGGAAGACAGTATAGCACAGAGAAGGCAAATAGTGACTCTGTGGCATCTTACTACACTGATGGGCAGTGACTGCAATGGGGCACAGGGGGGACACGATAATATGGGTGAATGTAGTAACCACATTGTTTTTTCATGTGAAACCTTTATAAGAGTGTGTATCAATAATACCTTTAAAAAAAAGAAAAAATGGTGTTGACAGATTTGCTTGACACAGGGTTGTCACAAAGCTTCAATTTGTAAAAAACACACTATCTGCAAAGCACAATAAAGCCAAGTGCAATAAAATGAGGTATGCCTGTGCATGTAAAATTCTGCATTTTTAGCAAGTATGCTAAAGAGACTCCCTTTCAATGACTTCAAAAAAGCAAGTGGTCATGTTTTAGTAAGTGGCCATATTGGAGAAGCCACATGGCAAGAAACTTACAAGTGGACTCAAGGAGCTGGGGGTAGCTTCCAACAAGAAAGTGAAGCCTTCAGTTTTGTAGATGCAAGGGAATTTATTCTGCCAACAACCTGAGGGAGCCTGGAAAGGTTGCTTCCCCAGTCAAGCCTCTGATAAGATGGGGGCCCCAGCTGACAAATAGATTGCAGCTTTCAGAGCAGAAAATTAAGCTAAGCTGTGCCCAGACTCCTGACCTAAAAAAAGTGGGGGATAATAAATGTGTATTTAAGTAATTTTCATTTGTGGTCATTTAACACAGCATAGAAAATTAAAATACAGTAATCCCACTTTATCTGCAAATTTACTTTCTGAGGTTTCAGTTACCAGCAGTCAACCATGGTCCAGAAGCAAATAATGCTCCTTCTGATGTATGGTCAGAAGAAGGTCAGTAGTAGTCTAACCTCACAATGCCTGCATCATCACCTCACTTCATCACACCATGTAGACATTTTACCATCTCACAGCATCACAAGAAGGGTGAGTACAGCACAATAAGATATTCTGAGACGGAGCAAGACCACATTCACATAACTTTCATTACAGTTTATGGCTATAACTGCTCTATTTTATTGTTAGTACTGCTGTTAATCTCTTACTGCACGTAACTTACAAATTGAACTTTATCACAGGTATGTATATCTAGGAAAAAATACACAGTATACATAGGGTTCAGTACTACCTTCAGTTTAAGGCATCCACTGGGGGTCTCAGAATGTATCCCCCACAGGTAAGGAGGGACAACTATAACTTCTTAATTAAAAATTATATAAATCATTACCAAAAAATATTAGCAATCCCCTAGAAAAATGAAAAAAAGATATGAATATGCAAATTTGAAAAGAAATATCAGTAAATATATTAAAAGATGCTCAACATCACAAATGCTCAAGGAAATTGGTATTTCAAGTCTGGTGTTTTTACGTGTTGATAAGGATATGTGAAAGAGAGATATTCTGGTGTTGGTATCCATTAAAATTCTCAACTTTAGAGATTCCACTTCTAGAAATCTACCTAGAAAAAATATGTACACAGGGAAAATATACTTTAATCATTCCCCTACTAAGAGACATTTAAGTGTTTGAGATTTCTAATTTATGAACAATGCAGAAATAAACAGCCATTCGCACCAATTCTCTTTCTATCCCATGGCTAGATTTTGGTTTAGAAAACAACATGCTCAGGGTAGGTGGGCTCTTCCCCTAGACGCAGGTATGAATCATTCCTGCACTGAGACACGTTTTTTTTTTTTAAATTAATGATGCTTTACAGGTAGGAAAAGATTTTGCTCCTCTGCTGAAAAAAGATATAGAAAGAAGGTACTCCTATTATTCCTGCCTTGAACATGGTTGTACAAAGTTACAATGCTTGTTGCCAGGCAGGAACCTGAGAGCCATGGGATAGAAAGCCTCAGGGCGAAAAACCAATGGCAGAGGAAAAACGGGCAAAGCCTGAGTCCTTGATCGCCATTACTGAGCCACTTAACCAGCTGTACAATGAACTACTTCTTCAGAAAATTATTTTATTGCTTAAACTATTATTCAGGTTTTCTACCACTTGATGCCAAAGTGCTCCTGATTTCACATATAAGGAGTTTTCATTGTGAAATTAAAGAAAAAAAATTCAATTTTCCTCTTGTACTTACAGTAATATATACAGAAGTTGAATAAATAAGTGTTCTTTTAATTTACAATTATTAAGCTAACTTTTTAAAAGTTAACATGGATGGACCTAGACAGTACACTAAGTGAAATAAGTCAGAGAAAAACAAATACCATATGATTTCATCTACATGTGGAATCTAAAAAAAAACAAATGAACAAACAAAACAGAACAGAGACACACTCATAGATACAGGAAACAAACTGTTGGTTACCAGAGTATGGAGGAGTTGGGGGGCAGATGAAGTAGGTGTACAGTTTGAAGTACAAGCCTCCAGTTACAAAATGAGTTATGGTAATGTAATGTACAATATAAGAAATATGGTCAATAATAATGTAGTAATTTTATATGATGACAGATAGTAACTAGACCTTTCATGGGATTTCATAATGTATAAAAATATCAAATCACTATGCTATGATGTACCTCAGACTAATAGGATATTGTATGTCAATTATACTTCAATTAAAAAAATAAATGTGTTTTAACTTTGATTTTTAAAAAAAGAGAGCATATGCTCCCCTACAAAGGGTTCTTTTGGATTCTAACAACCATAAAAAATTTAGCAGTATAATTTTTAAAATAGCAGTGATCAAAGCAATCAACAGGATGATGTGACAGTCTGCACAGCCAGTCTCTAATAAAATCACCTACTTGGCATCCAGTAAACCAGTAACTGTCATCAGAATATGTTCAATAAAATAACATAGGCACAAATTTCTATGATGATAAATCACAACTAATATTCATTGAGAGCTCTTATGTTGCAGGCATTGGTCTAAGTGCCTTATATGTATCATTTTATTCAATGCTCACAATAATCCAGTGAAATACATATTCAATTATTTCCATTCTAAAAGTGATAAAACTGTGACAAAGAAAGTTAAATAATTTGCCAAAGGTCAAATAGCCAGTAAATAGTAGAGCCAGGATCTGAACTCAGGCAGTCTAATTCTAGAACCTACACTCTTCACTAAGCTACTGCTTTTTTATATCTCATAAATTCCTGAAAAAGGAACTTTGTGAAACCTCCAAAAGAAGTATTTTTAGCCCATGATGGTATTTCCACAGTTTATATCCAAGGGATCTTCCAAGACATACAGTGTTCCATCATCAAATTTCTATCCAGTACCATATGCTGGCTGCTAACTGAGTGTAAGGGTAACACTGAGGAGCATGAAACTTCAAAGATGGGCCTACAATACTCAAGGTAAAACATATAAGTGACAGATGGCAGTATACAGGAAGATGCTCAAGGTGAAAAACGTATTTTCCTTTTAAATATCTTTAAATAATCTATATTAACTATGATAAACAGTAAAATGATCCATACCATTGTTTGATTGGTAAATTAAAAGTAATTTCTTGCCAATGTCTCTGAGCTTCATAATCACCAAACATAGGGGGTTTTCCAGCACCTAAGATGAAAAGTAAAAAGAGCAAGACAATATACTTAATATATCAATGATTTTTATTTCCTTATGAAATTTTTCTAAATTATAAAGGCAATGTAAGCTAAGGAAGAGGACAGAGACATTACCAAAGAAGTCAGAGATGGAGTCTGAGTCCCAGCTCTGCCAGCACACTGAGTGACTAAGTGACCTCGGGCAAACTGCTTGACTTCCCTGAGCCTCAGCACATTAAAAACACGATACTACCTACCCAGAGGACTTTTGGAATAAATAAGATAATGACATGAAATACCCAGGAGAGTACCTGACACACAGTAAACATTCAATGAACAGACACTATTATTAACATTAATTAGTTAATAATACTAATTAGATATACCTGAGTTTATTTTTACTTCATGAAAAAAGACTATCAACTCAATGATCCAAGAAGTATGAAATAATAATACTGAATATCTGTATTATACAAAAGGTTTTTGCCAACTAAATACAAATAACTTAGGGTCAAGTATGGAACCAAAAACAGACTATATGCTACAAAGACATTCATTAGGTCAGGTTTTATTGTCAAATGAGTTATATAAAAACTGTCTTTAAAAATTTTTTTAATTAGGAATTTATAATTTTTCAAAATTATAAATAAGGGATTAATGGATCTTAGTAACAATTGATAGAGCCTAGTATGTGCCAGATGCAACAATGAAATAGGTATTATTATGTATACCCACTTTATAGATGGAAAAACACAGAGAACGGTCACCCAGCAGTAAGTGATAGAGTCTAGATTTGAACTTAGGCAAACTAGCTCCATAATCCATGCTCTTAGGTTCTACTCTGCATTGCCTTATAAATCAGTTAAGTAGGTATTAACCTTAAATCATTTTAAATGACATAAAGGTAATTCCACTTAGTAAATCATAAACACTCACTATTATAACTAACAGTTGACTACATATTTGTGAGAAGACCCAAAGAGACACAGTAGTCACAGGTTTTTAAATTAGCAAGTGAAAATCACATACATTCAAATATAGCTGAGCCCTGAACAATGTGGGAGTTAGGGGCACCAACTCCTAATATCCACATATAACTTTTGGTTCCTCAAAACTTAACTATTAATAGCCTACTGTTGACTGAAAGCCTTAATGATGACATAAAAAACCAATTAACATATTTATTTGTATGTTATCTGTATTGTCTATTGCATTCTTATAATGAAGTTAGAGAAAAGAAAATCTTTTTTCAAATTATAAATCTCCAAAATATTTTCCAATGCATTTATTGAAAAATATCCATGTATAAGTAGACTCGCACAGTTCAAACCTGTGTTGTTCAAGGGTCAACTATATACTCATTAATCCCGAAAAGGTGTGCCACCCTAGAAAATGGTATTACCACTCACTAAAATCCAACCCAGACTTTCTCCAGCTTTGAAACACTACATTAAGTAGATTTTTTAATTTAATGATTGTTATACCAATACTCTTTTAATGTAGCACCCCTATCCAACAAGATACCCAACTGTGAAATAATCATAGGAAATGCAGATTAACATCTCTAAAACATATATACATTTAGTGACTGTCACAAAAATTATCCACAATAATATAATATTCAGGATATAATGGTACCTTGTAGAATCTCAGTGACGGATATAATAATGATGCTAAATAATCAGCAAGGATTTTTAGTTCAAAATATTTGAAATTTGGAGTCCCTGATATCTCACTTACTGGATATACAACATTAAGCAATTTGTGATGACAGACCAATTAATTATGCCAAGGTTACTTTAACATGATGCCTATATATTGGTTCTTGCCCAAAAATATTTTTAAATTACTGACACTTTGAAATTCCAAGCCTCTGTTCATGCTGCTTATACTATATTATACCATATACTCATCAACTCAGTGCCCAAATCTTCAAGAATCATCTCAAATTCCAACCTGTCCATGAAACCTTCCTTTACAAATTAAAAACACATTGATCACTAATTACTGACTTCTCATGTTATTTTCTTCACTAGCATATATTTGTCACGTGACTGTACTATTTCCTAATTGCTACCCAAATACGATTTTTCGTTCACATGGGCAAGAGAATGTGATTTTCCAGAGTTCAAAGGAAATGAACTACCAGCCACAGTATACACTTTCATTAAATCTCAATTAACTGAACAGGAAAGGAAGAAAAACCTATAATTTTTTTAAAAAAGGGAAATTATATCCCCAATGAATTAATTGCATTTTTGTGTATGTATTTTATAGAGGTGTGTATGTGTGCATGTGTTCCTATTTTAAGGAATACAACCATTTTTTATGGCTTCTTTTGAGGGGCACAGGAACTGGTTTTTATTTTTCATTTGTTGTGCTTTTATTTGTTTGCTTTTGGTTCAGTGGGACAATAAAAGTCAGAGAGGATCTTTAGTAATATCCTGAAAAAAAAATCCAACTATCTAGATTTTCTGAAATTGCTCTAGACTTCTGGTCAATGTGGAAGAATTTATTACCATTCTCTAACAAATAGAAGAATGGATAATGACTCTCTTTAGGGTTGAGAAACAAGTTTCTATCCAGAGTCTGACCTACTTCAATAAATTCAGCTGACACTGGCTATGAAATTAGTACTTAAGTTTTTAAAACTGCTAAAGTGCCCTTAAAGCAAACCAGAAGGACAACCCAACTGTACCTATGGGAGCTTCACTTGGGAAGGGCAAAAAGGATTCCTTCCACAGTGATTAATTCTACAAATTCATTTACACAAGATTCAGAATTACATAAAGAAAACATAGTAATGTGTATTTACAGAGTTTCAATTTTATCTCATTCTCAGGAAAATGGGCTTAAGCACCACTTAAATGTTCAATTTATTAATTGCTGAACTATTCAAAATTGTAATTTTAAAAGCAAGAAGTTCTCTGATAATACATAATAACTGTGTTTACACTGAAATTTTAAACATTCTAGAAGAGAACTTGACTAAAACTTTCCAGAATAAAATTTCCCTTTTATATGTTCCTGAGGAAGAAGAAACATTATAAATAGCAATGGGTAGGTTGAAAGAAATTAACCAATTACTTATATGATCGAATAAGTTGCAGAAAATAATTCTGTGTAACTTTCCCTTCCTAAAAAGCTGATACAGCTTTGGAAAAAAAGATTAGAATAAAATAACTTTCTTTCATTCAAGTGGTGCCATTTGCTCTAAAACATTGGTTAACACTTTGGATCAAGCCTAGAGGAATCATGGATCTGTATAAGAAATGATTATCAAGACTAAAATCAGAATTTGACTTCTTCCCACAGCTTGTTTAGAAGCAAGCAATATTATTCAATATTTTTAGGTCTGTGAAAACTAATTACATAAACAGCACTTATATAAGGGGTATAATATAAATATTTATGAGGTATAAATTGTAGAAGACTTTAAATTATAATATGCATAGGTAGTTGTATATTGTATACAACTATAAAATATATGCATTTCCAAAGAAGAAATAATGGGTTAAAACCAAGCAAGCTAAAGTGAGCTTCCTTATTTTGACTGCTTCCTAGTGACAATCTTTTTTTTCCTAATTACAATCTTAAAACAAGATAAACAAAAAGCAAACTAAAATAAACATGTTCAAACAAATCACAATAACAAAAATGTTTTAATTAATAGCGGGGGAAGAAGAAAATCTCAACAGAATCACAGATGTTATACTATCAATTCTCCCAGCCTCCTATAATAATATATAGGTTCTTCACCTGAGTATGAAAAATGTTATATTCTTTATGATGAGGTTGAGATTTCTGACAGAATCACAATTTTTCTTGGTGCTTAGCATTTTTATTTTTCTCATCTGAAAAATGACAAAAACACATAACTACCTATAAAAGATGCCTACAAATATTCTACTACTGTGCAGTAACAATACTTTTCTTACACAGTAATCCAAAAATAATCCTGTTCTGTTGACTTTCTTATGGGACAATTTAAAAACCAGGTTGAACGTAAGTTGCAGAGACAACATAGATGGAGTTGGAGGACATTATGCTCAGTGAAATAAGCCAGGTGGAGAAAGACAAGCACCAAATGATCTCCCCCATTTGTGGAGTATAACAACAAAGCAAAACTGAAGGAACAAAATAGCAGACTCAGAGATTCCAAGAAGGGACTAGCAGTTACCAAAGGGGAGGGGTGTGGGAGGGCGGGTGGAGAAGGAGGGGGAAGGGGATTGAGGAGTCTTATGTTTAGTACACATGGTGTGGGGTATCACAGAGAAGACAGTGTAGTACTGAGAAGGCAAGTGCTTGCATTGGGGTGTGGGTGGGGACTTGATAGTATGGGTAAATGTAGCAGCCACATTGTTTTTTCATGTGAAACCTTCATAAGAGTGTATATCAATAATACCTTAATAAAAATTTTTAAAAAAGGACATGGTGGAGGCAGAGCCAAGATGGTGGCGTGAGTAGAGCAGCAGAAATCTCCTCCCAAAACCATATATATTTTTGAAAATACAACTATTTCTAAAAGAGAGACCAGAAGACACAAGACAACAGCCAGACTACATCTACACTGCGAGAACCCAGCACCTCGCAAAGGAGGTAAGATACAAGCCGCGGCCCGGAGGGACACGAGTGCCCCTCACCCTAGCTCCCAGCGGGAGGAGAGAAGTTGGAGCAGGTAGGGAGAGGGGGCCCAGGACTGCTAAATACCCAGCCCTAGCCATCTGCACCAGAGTGCAGACACACAGTGCTGGATAGTAGGGAAACAGGACAGTAAGACTTGTGAGCGGGTCCCCACAGCCGGCGCCCCTGGGACAAAGAAAAGCGAGTGCCCTTTGAAAATCTTAAAGGGACAGGGGCCTCACAGCTGGACTGAAACGCCCAGTGCAATCAGACCAGTAACTGGGAATCCCAGGGAACTATGAATGCCCCAAACGCCTGAGCGGCAGCACAGCTAGGAGACCCCTCATGGTGATAAATGGCCTCCCACCTGTTCCCCCTCTGATAGCAGCA